AGGTTTTTTTGGAGTTTAATTCTAACAAGTCTTTAATTTGTCTTTAATATTTCTTCGGGACACTATCAACGTCCGCCAAATACGCTTATTACAAAACCATTTAAATAGAAAAATACAAAGAAAACACAGACAAATTTCAAGCAAACACAAATGAGTCTTTTAGAGAAGACACATGGCATATCCGATACAAACACGAACAAGAACATATGCTTATTAGAGAGACGGTAAGAGATGAGCTTAACGATGGTTAGCAAAAAAAAAAAAAAGAGAGATGAGCTTAACGAGCTCTTGTGGTGACTCTAACTTTTCTTCGACCAAACTTTTCTGTGAACCACTGATTGTGTGAAGTGAAGATATGTCCAATCACCAATCCGCAAAAAACACCAGGTCCATAGGCTATTGCAACTGCTACCCAATTGAATATTTGTTCCTCCGACTCTGACAATTCCTCTGGTTGTTGTGATGGTGTAGGATTCGGGACATGGGTTTCTCCACATATATCTTCGAGACCAAAAAGTCCAGGGTTGTCCAAGAACGAAGAACATTTCTGCCTTTGAAACTGTGTGCCTCGTGGCACTGGACCTTGGAGCAGGTTATGGGAGAAGTTCATGTATGACAGAAATGAGAGGTTACCAAGTTCTTGAGGGATTTGACCTGACAGCTTGTTCCGGGATAGGTCTAGTGCCTCGAGATTTGTCAAATTTGCCAAGACTCGTGGGATATCGCTTGTGAAAGCGTTACCTGACAAGTTGAGAAGACGCAATCCCTTCAAGAAGCCAATAGATTCGGGGATTTTCCCATATAATCTGTTTCCAGAAAAATCAATGGCTCTGAAGTCTTGTCGGATCCGGTCAAAGCTCATATCTACTCCTTTATTCACCATCTCCATGGACTGATAGAAAGTAGAATAAGTCGTAACATTTCCCATGTACCAGTCATCTTCTTCAGCTAACGGAGTCATTTCACGCCATTCGAAAAAATAGTAAGGTGGAAGAGTTCCGGTGAAACCATTATGTGATATATCGATGATTTTTAAGCTCTGAAAAGCATTGGACACGTGGCGTCGATACAGCGGTCCGTAGAACTCGTTTGACCGGAGGCTGAGAACATGTAATGTTGGTAGAGATCCTAACCATGATGGAAACTTGTCTCTGAATTTGTTGCTTTCCACATTCACAAGTTGCAGAGCTTTGCAGTTGATCAATGACTTTGGAAGCTTTCCCTCCAGCTGGTTGAGACTAACATCGAATGATCGTAACTCAGTAGCATTGGTAAATATATCTGGAAGAGTTCCACTGAAACTGTTTTTCTGCAAATTTAGCTCGAATAGATTAGAAGTCCTTAAACATGGAGGAATCGAGCCATTGAAGAGATTGTTAGACAAATCTAACAAGCGTAACCCTTCAAGCTTGCAGATCCAATGGGGAAATGGTCCACGGAATGAATTTGAACGCACGTTCAACTCTTCGATCAGTGTTTCTTGTGAAGATTTCTCAAAACTGCTGAAAAAATTGCGAGAAAGCCACAGCGCCGTCAATCTCCACAAGAAACCTGGTATTTCTCCTTCCAAAATGTTGTTGGAAAGACAAAGATACTCTAGGTTGACTAGCTTTGATGTAGATCTAGGGATTGGTCCAGTGAGTTTGTTGTCGTTAACATATAACGCTCCGAGGTTGAGAAATTCAGATATGGATTCAGGGATTGGGCCATCGAATCTGTTACGAGCAAGGGTTAGATACTGAAGCTTAGATGATGATGAAGATGTATTCGAAAACCCTAAAGGTCCCGTGAATTGGTTTCCTGCCAAAGAAACTTGTTGTAACGAAGAAATGGAGAACAGGGATTTAGGGAAAGGCCCTAGAAATGAGTTTTCACTAACATCAAAATACTCCAAGTTGTGGAATCCACTCATGCCAGATGGTAGCGTGGATGTGAAGTAATTAGACGTGATGCTAAAATAGGAAAGTTTCGTTAAATTGGCAAAAGAAATAGGAATATTGCCACTTAAGCTGTTATTGCCAAGCCACATGACTCTTAGCTCTTTTAGGTTTCCAATGGAAGCTGGTACTTCACCTTCCAGCAGATTATACCCAAGTTTAAGTTCTAAGAGATGAGAAAAGTTTCCTACTGAAGAAGGAATTTCTCCTATGAGACCGTTACTCCCAAGGCTAAGGTTTCTAAGCTGGTTTAGATTGCCTATTGAACCCGGAATCTCACCTACCAAACTATTATAAGAAAGGTCAAGAAATGTGAGACGAGAGAGGTTTCCTAGTGAAGAAGGAACCTCTCCTTGGAGATGGCAACTATTAAGGTCAAGGTGACGAAGATATTGGAGCCTAAAAAGACTACTGTTACTTTTCAAAGAGTTGTTGAGAGAGGTGTTATTAAGGTCGAGTAATATCACCTGACCAGATTTATCATCGCACGTGACACCTTCCCAAAAACAGCAATCGTTGCTTTTATTCCACGGACTTGGGCTAGACGCATCGATCGGAAACTCGTCTCTGAATTCCAAAAGAGCATCCCTCTGGTCGTGGCGGCAAACTTGGAGCGAAAGAGAAGCGAGAGCGTGGATTAGGAGGAAGGAAAAGATGGTAATAATACTAGAAAACCAATAACAATGGGTTCGATTCATCATGTCTTTTTTTAGCTTGTGTTGTAAGTAATGTGTTTGTGTGTGCTTCATTGGTTCTCTTTAAGAAGAAGAAGAAACTCCTACGTGAGAGGGGCTATGACTCAGCAAGTCTTGCGTCAACTTGTCGGACTCGTTTGTTTTGTCTGACTCTTCGTCAAGAATTGTCCTCATTTTCTCATTAAATCCTTTCCAAAATATCTCTTTACGTTTCTTTTAAGTTCTTCTATATATTTTCTTTTTAATTCGCTATTATCGTTGGTTATATTGATAACTCACTGAATCCTCTCCCAAGTAAATGGCTTTTTTTTTTTTATCGTGTCTCTTTTTTGAGTTTGTGTTGTATGTGTGTTTCATTGCTTTTCTAGAAGAAGAAGAAGAAACTTCTTAGTGAGTGAGGCTTAGGTCTGGGCACTGAGCGGCTATCCAGAAAAAATCTGGTATGCGCGATCCGTTCCGTCCTGACGGATAGTTGATTTTTCAATCCGATTCGATCCGTAAATTTTCGGACATCTGAAAGTTTGGATATCCGACTTTTTTAAAATATCCGTGAAATTCGATTCGATCCGTTATAAGACAATATCCGAATTTTTTTTAGATATCCGCGGATATCCCATCT